TCAATTGGCTATCACCGCTAGTGCAGTGCACTATCATCTTAAATGACTCAATTCGTGCTTCAGGTAGGTAGGAAATCTTGGTGATGTATCCGCGTAACTGCTTTGCTTTCGCAACCTGATAAAGCACATGTTCGGAGAAATCGAAACCTTTGGAGTGCCTAATTCCTAAGTCCCGAACTGAATCAGACGTTGGGTTCACATTTCCGGCAAGTGTGATAGAGCGTTCTGGGATGCGGCATCTGTACCGAGGTACTTGGGATTTCACTGAGGAGAAATTCATTAATAAAAGTTCGCTAGCTATATTTAGTGCGGATAGGTCTTCACCGAAGTTTCCCATGCATATTTTTACTTGGTCTGCATGAAATGAGTAGACCATTTTGACGTCATTGAACAGAAATGTGTGTCCATGTTTGATAGGGTCACATATGTTTACGTAGATTAGGAAATGTAGTGGTCCGAGAACACTTCCCTGGAAGACTCCGCTGATTATTTGTTTCGGTGTAGAATGTTGCTGACCTATTTTAACTTTCCGGGTTCGACCGTTTAGATATGAGTCGAACCAGTTAAGCAGAGGAGTTCTAATTCTATATGACTGAAACAGACAGCAGTGGCTTGTGCGGCACGCGCTCGGACACCTTTTGCATATCCAATAGAATTATAATGATTTCCATTGCTCTGTCAATCATAGTCGTGACGTGCTAGAGTAATTGTAGCTGGCAGGTAACGCAGGAGCGTTTTGAGAGAAAGTCATGCTGTCAGGGATTGATCAAATCCAGTATTGTATGATGTTGAACAATGTTCTTCTTGACTATTCTCTCTAGGGTTTTGGAAGCAGCAGAGGTTTGATTTATTGGCCGGTAGCTTGACACTTTATTTCTCTATTACCCTTGTGCTTAGGCATTGTAATGTATTGCTTCTACTGAGTTGGACATCAGCCGGTAGTGAAAGTGTGTAGATGTTTAATAACCACTAATAACCATTATCTTCATGGGTATTTCTTCATACAGTAGGTGTCAGTAGATCCACACCAAAGGCCATATTGTTAATAAACCCATTTGTAGCCACAGTACGGTTGTGAGTTAGGAATGACGTATTCCAATTCATGGTATTGATAAATTCATTAAATGAGTTACAGTCCACTCGATGAAGGTCTAAGGCAATTTCAACCCTCCTGTACGGCTGTGAAATCTGGCCTATCAGAGCGATTAATATCAGGTGGTTAGTTTGCTCGACTACTGGTGCCTTCGCAATTTGTTTCATATTTGGTGGAAATGTAGTGTGAGCATTGAGCGCGTTTGGCGCTTTGTATTTGGCGTAGGAAGAGCAAACGAACCGTCCAGCACCGTTCGTTCACGAATCCGGATCCGAGGGCTTGGTCATGTGCTATATATGCCAGCACATCAACTTCGCGACATGGCTAGTTCGCGGGAACAAAATCTTGATGGAAAAAGTGGGAAGGAGGCTAAGGGATGGCTTGGTCAAGAGGTATGAAGACCCTCACTTTTGTTGGCTTTGGTTAAAGCCTTTGACTTTCTGCTTACGGCCCGAACGACGATAAACAAGTTCAGTTGGATGTGCTTGTTGATATGGTGAATTGACGACCACAGTGACGTTTGTGTTATGGGAGCTGTTGTCCCCTTTCATCCCGCTGGGTCTCTCCCTCCAACTACTATGTTACTGCCGAAAAATAGGAATAATAAAAGTAACAACTTGTTGCAAGCTTGTAATTCTTCTATGCACTATTTTCTATTTAATTTTTTCGAATACATTATTGCATTGTATTATGACAAAACTGTAGAGGTAATTTCTGCCTCTAGCTGATCTGTCAATCTGCAGGTTGATGTGGATGATGACGCTCACTGATGAACATCATATTGCAAATTTGTAATTAAAATTAAGTAAACATGTATATTTCCGGATGAGTGGCATACGTTCTCTTTTGTTGAGCGATCATTTGTACATTGAGTTTTATCAGTATTTCTTTTATGAACTCGCATTCAACCTGGGCCTGATACAAATATCCTATGAAATCTGTTATGGGTAACATTGTTGGAAAGCGAGTTTTCTCATACTTTTCTGGCCTGATTCCATTAGTGCAGTCGTAGATTGTTGGGTATTGAAAAATTTGCCAAAACTTAGCTTGAAAAGATAGGATCTCGCTGGCCCTTAATTACAACGGTAGTTTATTCCGCAGATACCCGTACCTCGCCAAGAATACATTTAAATGGATATTTTGTTTGGTTTTCTGTAATCATAGTGTGCATTTCCCATTACAACTGGGATAGCTTGAATCATTTTATAAAGCAACAGCCATACTGTTTGGGAAGACTCACGTATATATAACACCGTAACGTAGAGTGAGATGGCTTTTCAGTCATAGAAGCCAGAGTGGATCAAGCTGGATTTAAGAACCTCGTTTCTCGTAGGTAAAAGTTGATGAGCGTCCCAAGACCATTTTGGTAATTGAGCGCTGAACGTTCTCCAATGCAATGCTATCTGTCTTGCGTAGATGACTAAGCTGGTGGTGCATTACCCTAATATGAATCACACTATGGGGTTGTATGATTCAAGTCGTGTTTGGGATAATGAAAAGGACCTAGTGATGTAGCTTGTTAGTTGCTTCGCTTTCGCTATTTGATGTGGGATGTGTTAGGAGAAGCAGATAGAGTATCGAAATTACAAGTCTCGAACGGAAAATGCAGTTACTATAGGGGTACCAGTAAGAGTGACGGCTACTTTTCGCATCCTGCATCTGTGGCGGAGTATCTTGCATTTTAGTTCGTAGATAATGGCCATGAAAATTTCAGAAGGCACCGTTGCAGAGGATTTTTCGGCAGATGGCATCATGTAATTACATTTACAAGGTAAATAGCAAACCGAATACGCTGTTGAAAGTCAGCATGGAAGTGGATAAAAACAGTGTGAAATGGTTCAGTAGATTCGATCGGTATCTACATTCATCTATTCTGGTGGCGGAGGACTGTAACTATTTTGGACGCTGATCTGATCTGACCTGACAATATAGAGATTATTCACCTATAGAACATTGGTGGGTACACCGATGAGGTGATACACACTCTGGCATCACCATTGTTCATCAGAATGTGTTCTTGTCAAGGCAACGGTAGACTTGGAGCTTTAACCAGTAGCCTCTGTTAGCAAAGCACTGGTCGCAGCAGTCTGATTGCGACCACTTCAGCTGTCCTTAGCTGTTGTTTTCTAAGCCCCTTTGAGTATCGCTTCGGCACACTGTAAAAGAATTCAAAGGCATCATTGGTGGAGATCTCATGTCCATTTTGAATTAGATGTTCCAGAGTGGAACTGTTGCTATTCTTGTCGATGCCCCGCCGCAATGACTCTGGGCAATGCTCAGCTATCCTCGTCGGCAGTTGTCTGGTCGTATGTCCGAGATATTTAGCACCACAGGTGCAACTACACTGATACGCAACATGGGATTCAGACTTGACCTGTAGTCTGTCTTTGAGATTTTGAGCAGCAAACGGTCTGGTCTCCGCGAGGACGCGTGGGTGGGTCGCTGGGAAGGTTTTACTTACTGCGACACAAACTTTCTTACTCTTAGGACAAAAGAAATCTCCCCTAAAGGGAGCATAAATACGTCCTTCTTCAGAACAGTAGAAACAGTTTTAAGGTGTGGATGGACTATGGCGTGTTTTTTGATAAATGAAGCAGGATACCTATTTGAAAGTGGTGTTCTAATAATCCGATCTTTCTCCTCTTCAAGTGTCTCCGGGCTACAAATCTTGGTTGCAAGGTAATACATGTAGCGGACTATGTTCCGTTTGTACTTTAAGGGCACGAAACTCAGAAGGTGCGTGTATTGACCAGGCCAACTTGCTTTCCAAAGGTACTTCTCTCAAGGGAACCAACTTCCCGCCTCTTCAGGAATACGTCAAGAAAGGCCAACTTTCCTACTTTTTTCGACCTCATTAGTTAAGTTTAGACATGTGTGTAGCGTTGAATCTATCGAGTAGACAAAAATCCGACGCATGAATCGTAAACAGTGAAGATGTCATACACTTAATGCAGTAGAAATCCAGCGAGGCAATAACAGTTTGGATAGGACACCGTTCAAGCTTAGAAAGGAGGATGTCAGCGAGAAGAGGCCCTAGGGGCGATTAAATAGCGACTCCGTCAATTTAACCATAATAGATCTTATCAAACAGAAACTGCTTGTTAAAGTACACCGCAAAATCAGTTCCTTTAGTATTGGTGTTGGGATGCTGGGATTTATCTGTCGAAAACCACACTGACCTGCTTTGGCTCTATTTGTTTAAGGATGATAGTGTGACACGAGACCAAACCGGAGAACCACTTTACCGGGCCAAAGCGTGAGAACGAGGAAAAGCCTTTTGGCCAGATTTGGAGATTGTCGCAAGAATCGAAGCGTGAACACCGCTCTACCCACGTTACGAAAACGAGTGCGGGGCCGGAGTGTGAGAACAGAGGTGGGGAAGCGGTTTGGCCGAACGTCGTGCACAGGAAAGTGGACAACTTGAACGGCACGATCTGGACTGCTTGGCTAGCGTGAGATTTCCCGACTGGAGGGTTGCGATAAGATAAAGAGCCAAAAAGATGCACGCCGAACCCGCTGCTGGAACGCTATGCAATGTTTCTATACACATAAATAGTGCTTACTAGTTAATATAAATAGAGTCTTGATCGCCGCGCAGTCCGTCTTCTACAAATCGAGCGCTAGTGTTACACAACAACAGCATTCCAAACGACACGGCTTTAGTTGCATGCTTGGCTACAACGATTCTAGATGTCTCGGTGTATTTTTCATATCTTTATGCGCCATTCTTCCCTATTCATCCTCTACATCGTTCACAATGTTTCGTTCGTTTAAGTCTGTGGTACAGTGAAATGAGGCGCTAGGTTAAATTGGCGCTCAAGCAACTAATGTTTAAAATCGTCGTACAAATATTGTGCCTGTGTATATTTAATTGGTCAATCCACGGCTGTTTTGTTTGCGCTTACAGAAATGAGGAAAACACAACTAAAGCAGAGGAGCTCATGGCGTTGCTTGAGAAGATGGTTCGGTTGCACGAGTTCTTTGCGGATGTTGAAGATGTAAGCACTGTAATGACTTCTGCTAACGATAAACCTGGCCATTTTTCGACCCTTTATCATTAAACTTGCGTGGCACTTTCCTTATATCCCACAACGACAACGTGGTCGTGCTCCTTTGCGTACTACACTGACACAGCTATTCACTGTCCGCAGTATGTTTTCCGCTCATTCGTATTGTTGATTAATTCTATGCCTCACTTGGTGAAGCAGTCTAGGCTGCTAAGTCGCCTCCTTAAGACTCTGTTCGAGACTTTGATACATTTGCATGTCGCACGCAGCGGAATACGAAACAATTGACGCTCGCGGTCATTCATTAGTAGAATGTTCATGCAAAAAATGTTTTGAGACATTGTCTTCACCAACGACACGAACATCACTCATGATAAAAAAACATGCACAGTTAGTAGCATTGTTGTCTGAGGCTGTGAGGTGGTAGTTTAGGGTAGTGTCGTCTTTCACTATATTGAAGTATGGAATAGCTTACGAATGGACCGGATTCAAAACCATCAGATTTTGGGAACACATAGAGCAATCTCTTCTTTCCTCTGTGTATGTATTTAACCGGAATCAAAACTTGACTTGTGTACAGGAGCTTTCGAATACTATTGGATGCGCTAAACGCAGGCACCTCGAATAGCTGAAAAACCGAGTATAATGTAGCAGTGCGACTTCCACGAATACAGGTTCAACCGCAATGTAGATGGAACAGGTTCGGTTCCAAGGCTTCGAAGCGCTCATGATGGGACGGACAAAATCTTGATTCTGCTGCTTAGAATTGAGGTCACTGCATTCTGAATAGGTCTCTTCCCAGTCAGTTACATTCATACCACTTTCAAATTCCTTCCTAACTTAATCATATTTGTCAATAAACCTCTTGAGAGAGTCCTTAACGCCTCACAATGCTACTGCTCATTAAGTGACCAATCCAAATTTGGCCAACAACATCCCATTCTGTGTACTCATCTGTCTAAATATCTGGTGATTTGGGGTTGGTCGCCCAACAAACAGCACGCACATTATAGGAGCGTTTACATTGCTTGGATGCAATTTAACAACGTTATGGGCCATCTTGAGTGATCTACAGGGGAATATCATTTCTTTAAGAAGGAATTTGGAAGTGTTATGGATGCGGAGAAAAAGGTAGATATAAACAGGTTAAAACAGTCTATTGACTTGAGGTGCCCAAATAGATAACTGTTAAGATTTAAGTGCTATTTCATACAACAGCAACAGACCGTCCCCTGCTTATCATTCTATGTCAGCTTACGTAAAGAAACAAGTTACGCATTATCTCACAACGTTAGACCCCCTTACTATATATATATATATATATATATATATATATATATATATATATATATATAACACGAGCATTAGAAGGTTGGCAGTGCCACAACACATAACAGCAACAAAAAAGAGGGAAAGAGTCAGGGTGAAGGGATGCGGATGTCTATATGTCGTGTGGGCAGTGAGTGTCCCCGTCTCCCAGGCCGAAAAAGTGGGTTGACTTAAGCGACCCGACCTCAAGCCTTTGGTTTTAAAGATCTGACCCGCAAGGCAGCAAGGTGAATACGAGGACCGTTGACTGTCAAGCAGCTCATTCACCTTCTTTGTGTTCGGTTGAAGTCCACATAGAATTTGGTGACCAGCAAGGTTGTTCATTTGCCCTCCGTGGTATACTCACCTCTGTAACGGGGTTTAGGAAACCAGTCCAGTATGCTCCACCTTACCACCTAAGCGCAGGTTACCGGAGTCAGCGGATCAGTTCGATCGAGAGAACGCGTGAACCCACCGGGAGACACAGCGATGGCTGGACAGCGAATCACGAGTGGCACACGTATCCAGACACCGACAAACCGGATTGGACAATAGAACATAGAGGGCGCACTGGCAAGTCGAGAATCGCTATTAACGGCAAGTTTCAGAGTGCAAAGCTAAATATGAGCGGTCCAAAGAAATACGGCCAATCAGATGCCAAGCACGAAAGACGTGATCATTGCGCGAGACAGGAAGACAGCGACTAAAGAGGAATAACATAACCCAATGAAATAAAAGGGGAACGCAACCAATGAGGTGAGCCGAAAAACAGGAGACCCACTGAGAAGGCTCGAAGATTAACAGTGTTTATTTCCTTTAAATTGGCTACACTATACTGAAAAAACGCCTGTTTTCCGCCCGCCGCCATCGTGACTTTTTGATCGTGTCCGTGTCACTTAACATGGTGACAGAGAAGAAGAAGAAACCGATGTCCAAGATGCAGCTTTCAGTTGGAGGTCAATCGGCGATTCAGTTTCCATCCCGTTTGCAGATGACTGAGAGTTCTCTACCAGACAGTTGGCGGATTTGGAAGAGCAAGTGGGCGCATTTCGCAACACTGACTCAGCTGGTCGTCCAGCCGATGAACTACCAACTCGCAATGTTTAGGCACGCTATTGGTGACGATGCAAAGAGGGTTCTTGAAACACTGAAGTTTGGCGGTCAGAAGGCGGATCTATCCGAAGTGATGCGGACATTTGGCGAGTTCTGCGAAGCGCGTGTGAACGAGACCTACCAGCGATATCTGTTTTTTGGACGCGATCGTTTACCGGGGGAGTCGTTCGAGAGATACATCACAGAACTGAAGCTCCTGGCATGAACTTGCAATTTTTGTGAATGCATGAAGAAGTCACTAATCCGGGATGGCATTGTTATTGGGATAAGGAACGATGAACTCACAAGCCGGTTTCTGCGACAAAGGAACTTGTCACTGGAACAGTGTGTCGACATCTGCCTCAGTGAGGCCAGAACAGATCAGCAAGTCGAACATCTGCGCGCCGAAAAAAATACGGAGTTGTTCGCAGTATCCCGAACCGAGGGACGTATCCTGAGATCACCCGATGAACAGGTAACTGATTGCCAGTTTTGCGGCCGCAGGCACCAAAAGAAGAATGAGAGTTGTCCAGCGTGGAGTCGGACGTGCATGAAGTGCTCCAAGAAAGGTCACTTTGCTCGTTGCTGTAGATCATACAGAGTGAGTTCGGTTGCCGACCATGCCAGAGAACGGGAACAAGAATTGTTGATAAACAACATGGATGGCCGGGCGAAAAGCAAGTGCGTGTTTGCAACATTTTTGGTTCGAGGACATCCGGTACGTTTTCAGCTAGACTCCGGGGCTGCGGTTAACATCTTGCCTAAAAAATACTGCAAGGGAGTGCGATGTGAAGAAACTCAAAAGTGTCTCAAAATGTGGAACGGCTCAAGGCTGCAACCTAAGGGCATCGTCATTTTGGAGACGGTCAATCCAAAGGAAGGAAAAGAGCACCCGCTGGAGTTCCTGATTGTTTCGGAAGACCTTATGCCCATTCTGGGCATTGATTCTATCCAGCGTTTTGGTTTTGTTTCTTTTAACCACGAACGTTTTGTTCATGCGTGTGACGTCGAGGTAGATATTTTTGATAAGTACTCGAGTGTGTTTGATGGCGGAGTAGGGATGTTCGAGGGACCCGCTCACTTATCGTTAAACGAGCTAGCAACACCGGTGGCGTTGCCAGCTAGGAAGGTGCCAATTGCCTTGCGCGAAATGTTCTTGAATGAGTTGCAACGTCTCTGTAGCCTGGGAGTGATATCTAAAGTTGACGAACCGACTGATTGGGTCAGCCAGGTGGCGATTATTACAAAAATGTCAGGCGAGCTGCGTATATGCATTGATCCGAAACCGCTTAATACCGCACTCAAGAGAGAGTATTTTACGTTACCGACACTAGACGACATGCTGCCGGTGTTATGCAATTCTAAAGTGTTCACGAAAGTCGACCTCGCCTCTGCGTTCTGGCACGTATCACTAGACGATGAGTCAAGCTACATGACAACTTTCGGAACACCATTCGGGCGGTTCCGTTGGCTTCGTTTACCGTTTGGACTGAAAGTGTCTAGCGAAACCTTTCAGAAGCGACTAATGCAAGTGTTGGACGATCTACAGGGAGTATTCTGCGTAGCGGACGATGTGTTGGTTTTTGGCGCTACTCGTGAAGAGCACGATCAGAACCTTCGTAGCTTTTTACAACGTTGTGTTGAAAGAAACATCAAACTGAAACGCGAAAAGATCGAACTACGCAGTACAAAGGTTATATTTCATGGGTATGTGTTAAGCGCGGAAGGGCTAAAGCCAGACCCTGAGAAAGTAAGAGCTATAAGAGATATGCCGTCCCCCACAGATGTGAAAGCGGTTGGCAGGCTAAATGGGATGATCAATTATCTGAGCCGGTTCCTGCCCAAGTTAGCTGATGTTATGACACCGATCAGGAAGTTGACTCATAAGGGCGAAAGCTGGCATTGGGGTGCAGAACAAGAAGAGACCTTCCAGGCAATCAAGGAACTCATCACTAACGCACCTGTTCTCGCCTACTATAATCCGCAACTCTCCCTCGAGATTCAGTGCGACAGCAGTCAATTTGGTATCGGGGCCGTACTCATGCAGAATGGGAAACCCATCGATTTTCGCAGTAGGACGTTGACAGAGACCGAGCGTCGTTACGCCCAGATAGAAAAAGAGATGCTTGCAGTGGTTTACGCCGTCGAGCGTTTTAATGACTATACATTTGGCCGGAAGACTACAGTGTTTACAGATCACAAACCGTTGGTTTCCATCGCCAACAAGCCGCTACATGTTGTTCCGCGCCGCTTACAGAGAATGCTTATTCGCCTTCAAAAATACGACCTAGAGATTGTGTATCGACCTGGTCCCGAAATGCATATCGCAGACACGTTATCCAGGGCATATCTGTCAGACACACCAAAGGAAGACGAAGATTCAGATTTCGTTCATGCAGCACAACTAGTAGCTGTTACCGAGGAGCGACTGAAACAGCTCCAGCAGTGCACGGAGGAAGACGGGTTATGCAAGCTACTGGGGCAGACAATACTAAGTGGCTGGCCCAAGAACAAGAAAGATCTACCAGGAGAGCTGACCCCGTTTTTCCATTTTCGTGATGAACTCATTGTCCAAGATGGGTTGATATTCAAAGGCAATAGGATACTAATCCCCAAAGCGTTGCAGCGCGCGATGACAGAGCTTGTCCACTATGCACATTTGGGAGTCAACAATTGTGTGGCCAGAGCGCCAGAGCTAATATCTTGGCCGGGAATGACCAACGAAATACGAGATTACGTCTCAAATTGTCGGGCATGCCGAACACACGACGTACGTCAGTCAAATGAACGATGACGCTCCGTGACGTACCGGACAGGCCCTGTCAGATGGTTGCAGTAGACATCTTCATCCACGATGGAAAAAGTTACTTTGTGTTGCTTGATTATTTCACTGACTACTTTGAAATCGATTCTCTTGCTACGACCAGTACAGACGCATTGGTGAATAAGCTACGATATCAGTTTGTTCGTCACGGAATACCGGCGATAGTAGTCTCGGACACCGGGCCGCAGTTCATTAGCGCAGAGTTCCGAGGGTTCATCAGAAAGTGGGATTTCCATCACCGGCTTACTAGCCCATAGCACAGCCAATCAAATGGAAAGGCCGAGTCGGCGGTAAATAAAGCAAATATGCTGCTTAATAAAGCTAGGAAGACTCAGGAGAGCACTTATATTATGTTGCTGGAACGCAGAAACAGGCCATCAACAGAAATTGGGGCAAGTCTGGTGCAGCGACTCTTCAGCCGGAGGACAAGAATGTTGATAACAACTGCGTCAAATCTGCTAACACCTGAAGTATCACCAGCGACCTCGATACACGAGCGGTTACGAAACAGAATGCTTAGGCAAAAGAAATACTACGATCGCGGGGCGAGAAAACTCCAACCTCTAGCAGTGGGAGAAGAAGTGTGGGTGCAACCAGTACCAGGATCAGAGGGACACTGGAGGAAGGGAGTTATTCAGAGCCGCAAGGGAGAGAGAAGCTACGAAGTGAAGATTGGGGGCACTACAATTAAGCGGAACCGAGTACAGGTCCGGAAAGCAGGTTGTACGCGTTTTACCCAGATGGAAAACCGACAACAGCAGCCAAGACAGATACGCGTCACCCCTGCAGAAGGAAGGAAACTCACACGCAGCGGAAAGCAGTATGGGACATACTGCGGCGCAATCCTAACAAAACAAAAGGAAAAGGATGTAACGGGGTTTAGGAAACCAGTCCAGTATGCTCGACCTTACCACCTAAGCGCAGGTTACCGGAGTCAGCGGATCAGTTCGATCGAGAGAACGCGTGAACCCACCGGGAGACACAGCGATGGCTGGACAGCGAATCACGAGTGGCACACGTATCCAGAAACCGACAAACCGGATTGGACAATAGAACATAGAGGGCGCACTGGCAACTCGAGAATCGCTATTAACGGCAAGTTTCAGAGTGCAAAGCCAAATATGAGCGGTCCAAAGAAATACGGCCAATCAGATGCCAAGCACGAAAGACGTGATCATTGCGCGAGACAGGAAGACAGCGACCGAAGAGGAATAACATAACCCAATGAAATAAAAGGGGAACGCAACCAATGAGGTGAGCCGAAAAACAGGAGACCCACTGAGAAGGCTCGAAGATTAACAGTGTTTATTTCCTTTAAATAGGCTACACTATACTGAATAAACGCCTGTTTTCCGCCCGCCGCCATCGTGACTTTTTGATCTGAAAATTCTTCACCCTGAACTGATTTCTGTCATTGATTCATATTAACGGGATGGGAATTTGTGCTTTGCTGAAAACCAGCATTGCCCGTGATTCATTGAAAGTTGGATACACAAACCTAATATATAGTACACTTCAAGAACGGCTGCATCGTCTAAATGCACTCGAAAGCACGTCCCCAGCTCGATCTGGAGGAGAATAAATCTATACAGCCAGTTGACATGTAACATAAACCGAAAAGCTAATATGGCGGGTTACTTTGATGCCGTGTACCCAGAATCCAAGATGCATCACGTATTAATGCACTGAAAGAATTTCAATTGCGTTCTGACATTTTAGCACATAATGATCAATTTGCAGACATTTCCCATCAAGTATTCACAGAAACTTTTGCATTGTTACCTCGGCTTGTATGTTAAACCTTTTTAGGGTTTAACACATTACCTGCTGGTGAAAGATGAATAATGTTTAACAAAGCACCTGAATACCGCTGCGTCATTATGTCCACTGAACAACAGGTACTTGTACGGTGACAGCAAGGTGAAAGTGGCCTGCTGTTGGAAGACATAATAACACCTTCACTCACGTCGCACAGCATCTTCATTCTTGGGCGTCTGTTCTCAATTTCCAGTTGATGGCTCTTTAACTGACGCCGAAGCCTCTGAACTTGCAGTAGCTGCTGACCCGTCAGTGGACGACCAGATGCTAAATCGATCGCCAAGGGTAAGGACAACTGCTGTATTTGAGCTCTCTTCTCTCGTACCCAAGCCGCCTCAAGTGACAAATCTAGAAAGATCTTGGACATCTCTTGCATCTGTTCTGCCCTTGTTTTTTCAACCTTCAGACGAGTTTCGATTTGGTGTAGTCCAGAGTCAACTTGATCGACGGATTGAAGAAGCTCAGGTTGTTGGTCAGGAGTGATGAATTTTTCCACATTAGTCTGTCATGGTAAATTGAATGCAAGATGTGGGTTAGAAAATCAACCATTAACAGTAGCATGATGAATAAAAGTGCAACTGTTTGACGGCGCCATACGTACGAAAAACATTGGATGAAAAGACTTTTGATACTTTTCGGCGAAATAAGACATATAGGCTCGACTGTTTCCGAATAACTCCTTCTATGTTGTGCAGTGACCGAAAATGTCAAAAAAGAGTGACGAAGCTGGAACACGAAAATGTAATGCAGCAATTTGCGCAAATCAACAGCAGTTTTTATTCCATAAAAACTGACTCTTACTTAATGCCGTAATGATGAACAGTTAATCGCAAGCATTACCATTGTGTATAAACCCTGAGTGAGGAGTAGCAAAAACCTCGTTGTGGTTGATGTGAAAACATGAGATTGAAGGAAGTAGCTGATCATCCAACATGGAGGAATTTCAGAAAGTTTTGCTGTCGTCTAACGCCGCTGACGTACTCTATTAATCAGAAACTGAGCTGCCTGTTTGACGATAACTAAGATGATATAGAATTGCGCTTCTATGAACTCCGAAAGCCGCAGTTGCTTGCTGCAAACAGCTTGCATTACTGCGTGTTTGTTACCTAAACGAATAAAGAATGCATGTGTTCAAAACTATTTTCTAACGGTGTTTTCTTACTTTGCGGCTTCTGTGAATATCGCCATGGATATGTAAGGCGCTCTGTTAAAATCTCCAACTTCAGTCAGAAACGCGAACCACTAGACCTCAGCAAAGCAGTCTCATACGTAAACATGATCTTGAAAATTATCTACTCAGACTTGTGACATTTCCCTGGTTCCAAAGAAGCCACCAAAAGCGACATGAAAATTTGCTTAACTAAAATGCTCTACATCCCTCTAGCTGGTTACAATCCATGTTCCCAAAACCATCGTTTTGAGGCTAATAGGAGCAAAACCAGCTTCACCCTTGATATCTGTGCAATTCAATGTGACCTAAATCAGTCACGTGATCCCCTGACTGCAAATGCACCAGGAGTCTTTGTCAGCTCTGTAACTCATTAATTGCTTGTACTACATTTATGTTATAAATGGCGTGTGGAATAAGGTCACTATCATCTATGATGCCATGAGTTTCCAAGCTGATAGTGAAAATGCCATTCAGCGATGGTTTTGAAAAGAATTCCGGATGGACGTCCGTTCTTAGTTGCATGTTAGCATTAAAAGCGTGGAGCATAACCATCAGCTATACCAACACTGTTTTCTGGATGGGATGTGCCAACTACAATTAGATACATTCATCATTGAATGCCTATGAACTGAGAATTTCAATGAACTTATCTATCAATGAGGTCCAGAAAGTTTTGTTTCAGGTGGACGAAATTATAAACGATATGAGAATTAGAGTGTTAAAATAACACTACCATGTCGCTGAACTGTGAAACCTAACTTGACGCATTGGATAATTCGCTCGTGTATGTCCCGAAATAATATACTTATGTTGGTCCGCATAATTAGCCCATCAAAGTAATAGCTAAAACGGCATGGTATCTAAGCCAGTAAAATGGATTTTGAGGGTGGGAAAATTCGGTCAATAGCTTTAACACATTTTATGCAGATGAAGGGCGTGTCTGGTGGAATATGTCACAGTACAACACAGACTACGCACTGGATAAGATCATATGTTATATCAGAAAAAATGTTGCTTTGCCGAAACGTAACGCGCACAACTCAGTAAATCAGTACACAATATAAAATTCCAATTTCTATGAGAATGTGCGTACATGTCTGCCATGTCTTTACTATCTCATAAGACACAACCTCCGAGTGGTCCGTGATTGCACAGACCAACAAACAATTTCCGCAAAGCCACAAGGATTGTTATTTCTCTCATTTGTGACTTTGTTTCCAACGCACCGACTTCCGACATGATGCCAAGGGGGTAAGTGAGACAACTGCATTGCGTAAATCCGGAATCAGTACTTTTGTTTGGCAATATATTCAGCACCAGTCAATTCCCCATGTCTAACTCCAAGATTTCAGTATGTAAGCATCAACTAAAATTTTAGAGTTGCTTATATAAAGAAGTTAAATAAGAACGAAAATATACTGAGATAGAGAGGCTCAAACTGTATGGAGACTCCAATTTCGTTAAAATTGCTTGGATTTTTACAGAAAACCTTATCTCCGCATGTCTTTTGCACAGTGTCGTTTAAAAAGTTCATCTTTCACAACAGATATAGTAAAACCAATGAGATGCTTGCGTCCTTGCCGTCTATGAAAGCTGCTTCGACATACATACCTGGAAACATCCCCATAGGCCTAGATATAGGAATATCTCATGGCAAGGTAAATCTGCGCACAGGTAAACCGTACCGGCTGAAACGTGGCAACATATAATAAAAGCTGACAGTTATCTAAACGTTAAAATTAAATAAACCAACTATTGGTAAATGCACAGGATACACGGGTGCTATCTTTGGGACACCACCGAACTGAAGTATGATGTTTAAATTTCAACTTTCATTCATCTGTCAACCATAGCCAAATGAGCAGGTCCACCCACCCGTATCTCTGTCAGCCCAGCTTGATGTTCGAGCAACTGCTTCAACTCAGCTTCAATCCTCTTTTCCAATTTCTGCCATGTACTCAACCCCGAATCGCCAAGAGCCGCTGGAGCGGCCACAGTGGAAGGAGCATCGGTGGAGTGCTGATTCAACCAACTAATCGTTTTCTGAAGTTTCTCGATTAGTGTCTTGTCTAAAAGTTGGTAGAGAGATAGGTAAAAGTTAGTGTTATTAGAACAATTAACAAAATTAACATTCCATGTGTGTCTCACCAGTAGTCAGTTCGCCTACGAAAAACGAATGTTTCCAGCGGGTTGCGGCTATTAATTATGAACTACGAAATACAAGACAGCAATTTCTAAAACAAGCGCCTTCTCACCAGCTAGCACTTAACGTTAGATCTATAGGCATTGTCGGAGCTGGTTTTTGGGCGATCTGCCATTATATGGCACATATCTCAATATTTCGGATATGTTTTTCTCCAGTGAGGAAATTGTGTTTGTGATTTAGAGCAACTATTTTCTAAACACGGTGATAGAACACTTTTGGTTTGTGAGAAATATGTGTTCGATTATTGAACTTACTTCATATAAGGTTCAAGGAGGGATGACCGATATTTCATAGCTAGGTGCCAGGATGCGGAGCGTCCGGTGTGTTTTGAACCACCATAAAATATTTCAGTTTAGACTGGTTTATTTTGGGTTATAACTGTTAATCACATCACTGAGATATCAGCAGAAGTGAATGCAATGTCATTGCTGTTGATGCCAACACTGCATCCAACTGCCGGTTACGCTTTCACTTGGTGCCTTAGGTACAGAGTACCACTAGCCTATTGTCTACACTTATGCCTTTCGATTAACGAACTGAGCACTAAACATGCAGTAACTGACTGTAAATACTGACAGAACCTGCATTTGTATACTAAAACAGTAATGAACTTACTGCATATAATTTCCACAAGCCTTACGGCCGCAGTGACAGGTAAATGCAGAATCCGATGCCGCCAACGTGTATATGTATACATATATATATGTATATATATATATATATATATATATATGCGGTTGCTTAGTAGCGACCTTTCATCAACTCGGAGAAACTCAGAATACGCCAACCTTAGGAAGAAGATAATCATTTCACTTTGCCCCAGATTTTACGCCTGTTTGCATTTCAACAGCGATCTATATTATAGCTATGCAGAAAGATTTCTGTTTTACTCCGATTAGGTGGTTTCATTACTGGAACAGGTACGATCAGTACAACCGTCTTGAATGTCTAGATTTTCATACTTTTTAAACATTCGTGTATATCATCTCAACCTGGTCAATTGTTGGAGCGTTGGATTTCACAGCGCTCACCAACCTTCTATTTTGCTAGCCCGTAGTCCTCTGGGTTTAGTCATAGCTGGTTTTGTGCCTCATTTTTAAAGGAATCTGATAGCCTCCTATCAATCTCAGTAAGTAAAACTCAACCAAAACTTCATATGAAATCATATCTTCGTTAAGCTTTTACATTTAAGTGGTTGACAATGCGGCGCTTTAGCTTTGCGATATTTCCTCATCTACATAGTACTCAAGACATTTGGCATCATAGTTATGATCAGTAGCTTTTACGTGAGAACGTCATTGAAGCGGTCAGTCCACAAGTTGGTACAGTGTTCTATCTTATTATGCAACCATTTGCTTGGATATAAATATGCTCATATAGAATAGATCCCTGATTTTAGTTACCCATGTTTATGTCAGATAAAATCCCACATGCTATCTGTTCGCTAAATCTACGCAAACCCCTAAAAAATGGAAAAAATGAATACGCTGCTCTTAATTGCCCGCATGTGCCGACGTTCCGTCATCCGGATAGCTGACCGGCGGGTCTGGAAACGAGAAGGAGCCACTTGCCACGGACAGAAGCAAAATGTGTGTTTAGGATTTAGTGGAAATGAAGTCAGATTACAAAATTCTGTTTATCACTTAGCTACGTGAGAGGAAGAAGGGGATAACCCGGAGGGAGGACTAGCCTAGTTTGCGTTACCAGTTACGTGAATCGGTATAAGATTAATGACGGCATTGTGCATAAACACTTATGGCTTAATCTTAGGTCATATGAATAAGAACAATTAGTAAGCAAAATAAATACTTGTTTTCATTAGAAAGCAGTTGATTTTCAGCACTATAGGATTACTTAGAATCGCGATTCCCTGTGCCTCACCAAACCACTAGGGAGAATTACAGGTTCCGAGTAGTAATTCTGCGTTCGCGATTCTTCCGCAATAAACCGTAGCTGTGTAATTCTTAACCCACAAACATTCAGGAAAAATCCTATTGTGAATTCGGAACAACCATTGCTTCAGCATGGTAGCAGGGGATTTCATCAGCAGTTGTACTATCCAAGCTTCAGAGTGTATTACCTGACGTCAGTTTGGGTCGCTTGTTATCTCCAGATGAGCCATGCGCTACGCTGCTCTCTCTTCTCGCTTACCTCAAATCGGCCTTTGTTAAACACGTATAATATGTCTTGAGTCGAGCAGCTTATGCTGTTTTCCTTACCGCGTAGTTGACATGCCTTTACTTATCAGCACTTGTAGTTGGTATCTGAGTCGGACCCCACAGATACATGATTCGTGGTACTTCAAGGAGAAACCACCAGCGTCTCTTACAGTAGTCTGGCACCAATTGTGTCTAGGGATGATTCTAGCGGTAAATCGCATCTATATGCTGTCTTACTTTCTCTACCATGGGACTGGGACATTTTCGCAGAATAAAAACTGGAACAAAAGTGTCAAACACAATTTCCAGGCCGCTCTGATGATGTGCCAAATAAGGCTGTAAAAACTCGCGTACAACAGCTGGCACAGTTTATAAAATGTATCTCCAGCGCCGCTGACGTTAAATTATATACAACATGGAAGGACATGAGAGCGATATAAATCACCAACACGGTGTAAATTTGGGATTATGTCATAAGATTTGGGGTGCTTTCGTATATTCTCATTGAACAAGTTGCTTTGAAAGGCCTCAGTGACTTGGCAGCTTTGTAGGAAATCGGAATTAAATCGGAATCAGTACGGCATACCTAAGTGACTGCATCAAACCCGACAGGGCATACATCTATTCGTGTGGCTGATCCAAACGTCACCATCAGAAACGGCAACAAGCACCAACCCTACGCAACGTTTTGTTGAGTTACCATTTAATCAATTGCCCGCCATCGAATGGCCATCTTAGGGTTCAACCAGATCAGATGTAGTGCGAGTGAGGAATATAAGTGAGAACAACCAATTGGATGGTATGTGGGGCGTATGACCTAGCTCCAAGGGGGTTGGTTTGCGGACACCAGATGGCGGAGTTTATCAATACTCATGCGAACTAACCGACAACTGATAGGAATACTGCAGACCATTAGTAAACAAACGACAGTACTTGAAACACGTGGGCCGTAAATTCCATGAAACGTACTGGGATCTTTGGCATGTGAAATAGCACTAGCAAATAAAATCAAACCATAAATTACTAGAATAATACGCTGACACCAAAGTATCAAGGGTATGGTATATATCAACCAAAGCAGCAGTAGCATTTGGGTTCGTGGATTAGAATTTTTACACCTAGAATATTTGATGGAAATTCTTTGGATTATGTATCAAGTATCTCCTGCGCAACGAAAGGGGGATGGTCTAAAAAAGCGCAGATTTGTCGGCTGCATGCAGTGTCCACATGAACAGGACCCTGAAGTTAAATTCAGAAGGATAGCCTAGTACATCTGGAAGTGGTCGAGCGCAATAGGTCTGCCCCAACTCATTGCTATTCAACCGAGTTTTGGAACAAGGGGCGGTTGTAAAAGCACCCTACGCAATTCACAAACCAAGAAACGACAAAGCAGATTCGTTACCTGAAGTTTCCCTTGAAAAATAGTCCATGTGTCAAAGTTTTTTTGCATCCAAAGTAGATTTACCCTTTTTCTATTGGATTCATGCGTTGTTCAAGTTATTTAGAAGGTATATCATTCAGGCAAACCAATTAACCCAGTTAGCATGGTAAAGTTACTCCTTGAGTGGAATTAATTTTGTCCTGATGTTCATCGTTAACTGACTACCGGACGCGCTTACTCTGCCTTCCAATTTGCACAGATATACTCATCCAAAACTGAGTGCTAACTAATGCGCCCATGCTCCTTCGCAGCTGTTCAAAGGATGCCATGCAGTGTGCTCAGCATATTTCATCTAACCTGCGTGGACTACTCGCATTAGGTGCAAGCGATTAGTTCGCTAAATAAATTTACACGTGCGCTATTGCCAAGTCTGGGGCGTAGAAGAATGATTTGACTCCACTCAGAAGGGAACTCCGTGGGCTGTCTAAGAAGCGCGTAACCATCCTTCTCGATAGTTAGATTGAGAAGTTAGTGGACAATATGTGCCTCCACATCTTCAGCGGCCACAGTACGGCTAACGTTGTGCCCGCTGCCCACTCGTCTTTTAAGCCAAATGTTACATTCCTAGCCCCCTCGATGAGATGCCGATACCTTGTGGCAATGATGTACGCGTGTGGTAGACACAAGTGACCTCTATACTCCGCTGTGTAAAGATGGATTAACGCGAAATAACCGCCTAGCCAAGTGCACCTACCTTGGTACTGGATGAGAACGCCTTGAAGCTGACCGGCGGTCTGAAAATACCAAAAAATATTGTCCTTAGTGGTCGCGTGACATAAGTAACATTTGACATGGCTGGTCCGCTGAACACACCTCCTTGTGGTGTTAGCTGGGTGGTTCGGGTTAATCCCGCTCCAGCAAATGGTTCGGCGGCAGTGTTCTAGAAGGTAGTGGGTTACCGCCTGACAAGTGTTCTCCCTATAAATAGCCAAAATATAGGTTTAACAACACGGCGACTTGGCGAATGTGACGCACCATTAAGAAAAGTCACTGCCTCTTAGGTAACCGGATGATTTTGCCCAATCGACGGACGTCAGTCATTCAATGCGCAGGTTTCCTTTCACCCCCTCTCACGTTGACTACCCGACCGTAAACACTCATAAATACGGCGTCGCATGTAAAATTCAAACGACACGACCTTACACATTCATACCAGCATGCCTTCACATACCCTTATCATATAGATCCACATGCTACCGAGAAACTTGTACCGTTACTTACCTTTACCGGTCCTTAATGTTTGCATCATCGTAATCATGCTTA